AATATCTGATGAACATAGTATATAAATATGATACAGTATGAATAAATACAAGTGAAGAATACTCTGTGTACTTTGTGTTTTTTATTGATACCGGTGTTTTAACTGAATGAAAAGCTCAGATGAATCCACACCAGCAGTGACTGTTGTTCTCCACTAGATGGAGCAGTTTTCTCACAGCGTCGTGATTCAAAGATCCAACAGCCAGCCAGCAAGAATGAATCAGACATTAAAACAGTGAGAATAAAATAATTATATCATATAATAATTCAGACTAACAGCTGTCCAATTAAAAATACAAAATACATGAGTTAAATCAATATAAGAAGTGAGAATAAATTAAATTGAAATAATAAGAGACCAGCAAGCCAAACTTCTTAAAGGCACAGCCAAAAAGGAATGTTTGAATGAATAGAAACGCCACTCCCCACTGCTGTAAATGATCAATATAAAGCTTTTTATGTTTTATCTTAATCAAATTTATTTTAAAAAGCTCATTATTTGGCGGTGGACACATTGGAAAGTGTAAATGATGAAGTTTCTGTCAATGCTTTCTGCTCATATGATAAAAACTCCTGGAGATATTAATCCAAATAAATGACATATTTACCAAAGTCCTGCTGAAATTGGCGCAAAGAATTGTGGGTACTTTACACCTGCTGAGGATACACACATGCATCCTTGAAAATTCTCTGAATGAAGGACTCTGTCCTCGGTAGAATTTAAAGAATCCTTGACACCGGAACAGCCCTTGGGTGGGGCTTGATGATGTAGCATCCTTGAAATTGAACAATTTAAGGATCCCTCCTTGACTTTGAGAAACACCTCACGTGGAAGCTCTTTGTGCAAGTTGTTGCATAATGCGAAGAAGTTTAGAGTCGTATGAACCCTGAGAAGCCTGCAGAGCGACTCTATGATTTACATATTGTTTATTTTAAATCAGCTGAGCTCCAAGAAAATTCTTTTTACAGGAGAGACTAATGTGAAAGCTTCATACTGACACTGTTTGAATAAAGAGGTTGGGTTCAGTTCTCAGAATATGTGATGATAGTATTTAAATGTTTAGCAGAGTTAACATGGGCGGATTACGAGACAGTGGCTCCCTGGGCACAGACATGTAAAAGGCCCCACCACCTCTCCAGCCATAGACGGAACTAGGGGTGCGGGGGATGCGGCCGCACCCCCTCCCATCCGCCCCCTGCACCCCAGCCTCCCTACCCACTGCATTATGCTTTAAAAATAAATAAATAAATAATCTGAATTTAAACTCAATTTGTCTGACTTACATTTATCTCTTTCATATCATTAATGCATAGATCTATGCTTTGATGTGATATGCAGCCTGCCTGACTACATACAGTAGCCTTGGCATCCATGTTGTGTCCATCCTGCAAACCTTGCAGCCCCAAACCCGCTACATGCTGTCGGAGGTGGAGAAGTTCATTAAACTCTGTCTGGCCCTGCCCATATCTGTTGTGGCATCCGAGTGCTCTTTCTCAGCCTTGCGCAGGCTGAAAACCTGGCTGCGCAACACCATGGCCCAGGAGAGACTAACACATTTGGCCATTATGAACGCTCACAGTGACCTTATGGATGAAAGCGATGTCTCGACCCTGCTTAAAATCTTCATTAGTAGGTCAGCTGAGAGAAGGTCCACTTTTGGAAATGCATGAAAGCCCTGAGTCAGGAGCACAGACTTTTCTGCGCTTTTTTTCATTCAAGGTTACAAATAATGTTATTATGTTCCTTAAATGGCTTGATTTAATTATCAGAGTTTCATTTTCTTAACAATAAAGATACCGTGTTCATCCATTCTAGTTCTCTTATAACTGCATGTTATTATAAAATAACCTCAAATCAAATCCTTAATCATTGGTAAGTGTGCGTGCTTCCCCCACCCCTCCCAACAAAAATCTTGTCCCCCTCTCAGAAAATAGTTCCGACATCCATGTCTCCAGCACAGAAACAAGACACGCAGACTACATGGTTGTTTAGCCTCTTTCTGTTATTTTGTGTCTCTTTGCAATTGTTTTTGTCTTTATAGAGTTTTATCTTTTGTCTGTGGTTATTTTGCTCCTTTTTGTAATTGTTTTGTGTCCTTGTAGTCATGCATTTGTCTCTGTGATTATTGTCTCTTTGTGATTGTTTCATGTCTCAGTCATTTTTGTCACTTTGTAGTCATTTTGCATGTCTTAGTAGTAATTTTTGTCTCTTTCTAGTTGATTTTTGTTTTCTAGTTGTCATTTTAGTCTCTTTGTTGTAATTCTGCATCTCTTTGTAGTCATTGTGGGTGACTTTTTTTTATCTCTTCTTAGTCATTTTGTATCTCTTTGTGGTTGTTTTGCCCCTTTTCATAATTGTTGTGAGTCTCTTTGTATCTCTTTGTGGTTGTTTTGGTTTATTTGTGGTCATTTTGAGTTTTTTTGTAGTTGCTTTGTGTTTCTCAGTAGTAATTTTGTATCTCTTCGTGGTTGTTTTGAGTCTCTTTGTAGTGATTTTTGTCTCTTAGTAGTCATTCTGAGTCTCTTTCTAGTCATTTTGAGTTTCTTAGTAGTCATTTTGTCTCCTTCTAGTCATTTTGAGTTTCTTAGTAGTCATTTTGTCTCTTTCTAGTCACTTTTGTCTCTGTAGTCATTTTGTCTCTTTCTAGTCACTTTTGTCTCTTTGTAGTCATTTTGAGTTTCTTTGTAGTCATTTTTGTCTCTTTCTAGTCACTTTTGTCTCTTTGTAGTCATTTTGAGTCTCTTTGTAGTCATTTTTGTCTCTGTAGTCATTTTTGTCTCTTTGTAGTCATTTTGAGTTTCTTAATAGTCATTTTTGTCTCTTTGTAGTCATTTTGAGTTTCTTAATAGTCATTTTTGTCTCTTTGTAGTCATTTTGAGTCTCTTTGTAGTCATTTTTGTCTCTTAGTAGTCATTTTGAGTTTCTTAATAGTCATTTTTGTCTCTTTCTAGTCACTTTTGTGTCTTTGTAGTCATTTTGAGTCTCTTTGTAGTCATTTTTGTCTCTTAGTAGTCATTCTGAGTCTCTTTCTAGTCATTTTGAGTTTCTTAGTAGTCATTTTGTCTCTTTCTAGTCACTTTGAGTTTCTTAGTAGTCATTTTGTCTCTTTCTAGTCACTTTTGTCTCTGTAGTCATTTTGTCTCTTTCTAGTCACTTTTGTCTCTTTGTAGTCATTTTGAGTTTCTTTGTAGTCATTTTTGTCTCT